AACAAAAATGATCAAATATAAAGATCTATTAGATCCGCTAGGAAAATTAAAAACTCGACAAGAATTACAGGAACAGGGATTTAAAATAGATCAGTGGTTATATATTCAAATTCATAGCAGATACAAGACATTAAAGATTTTGGAATTTATAGCAAACTGCAGTACTTAGATAAAATTTTATTAGGATCAAACAAAAAGAACATATCTAAATTTTATAAATATTTACTGGAAGTAGAACTAGTACAAGAGATAGTCAAAGGGAATATGCTAGCCTGGAGCAGGAATGTTGGAAGAAGTATTACATTATCAGAATGGGAAAGGATTTGGAACAGAAATATTAAGATTACAAAATCGGCAGCGTATAAAGAAAATACATACAAAATGTTTTACAGATGGCACTTGCCCCCTTCGAGGTTGGCGAAAATGAACCCTAACACGAGTCCAAAATGCTGGAAATGTAAAAGCATAGAAGGAATCTTTTTTCACATGTGGTGGTCTTTCAAGGAAACCCAGAAATATTGGCAAAAAAATAGAAAATGGTTGGAGGAGATAACCAAAGAACAAATCGAATATAAACCAGAGTTCTTCCTATTAGGGATCTCTGACAAACATTTATCCAAAAAGATGAAATATGTAACAATCCACATTTTAACTGCGGCCAGATTAGCGTTTGCTCAGTGCTGGAAATCACCGTATACACCTACAGAACAAATGGTTATCCAGAAAATATGTGAATGTGCAGAAATGGACAAATTAACGATAGCCCTAAAAAACAAAGAGTCCTCAACATTTTACAATAATTGGAATTCTTGGTATAATTGGTTAAGCCAGAGATAAACTGCCTAAAAGATAAAGGGTAATTTAAGCATAGTTGATGAGATGAGCATATTCGAATTAATTTAGGAGGAATGGATCTTACAGACTGTCAAAAAGGATATTGTCTGCTTTTAGATGTACCCTTTTCATTTCTTATTCTTTTTCTTTGTTTCTTCTTTCTTTTACATCCCTCCCTCTCTTCTTTTTCCGGTTCGCAAGGGTGTTCATACCGGGTGTTTTTTTTCCTTTTTTGTGTATGTATTGTCGATATGTTTTTAATTGTAAATTCAATAAAATTTATTTTTTTAAAAAAAGAAAAATTAGAATTGCAATTGTTAGAACTCTACAATGAGGTACTGACAACAGCGAAGTTACCCAAGTCATGGGGGGAGACATGCATAACATTGATCCCAAAAGAAGATTCAGACCATCAATTAATTCAAAATTATAGGCCCATATCCCTTTTAAATGTTGACTATAAAATATTTATGTCCACAATGGCAGAAAGATTGAAAAAAACCCTTAACCAGATCATTCATAGTGACCAAAACGGATTCTTACTGAATAAACCAGTGATGGCTAACCTATGACATGCGTGTCACTCGTGACACACCGAGGCACTTTGACTGACACGCCTGTTGGTGTGGGGAAAACCTGCACATTTAGAGGCTGCCTGTGCTCTGCTCCAATCCCTGCTCCCTGCTTGTTGCGTGGAGGCGTGGTGTCACCGCTGCCACGAGATCTTTGCAGCAGAGAACCAGTTTTAACCACCATAAACTGAGGTTTGTCAGTTTCATTACCTCAGGAACGCTACAGGAGGAAAGGAGATCCATGAGGTTCACAGCCCTGTAAGGTGGCCTTCCGATCCCCACACCCTGCACCTGCAGACCTGAGACCAGGGAGACAAGTTTCACAGCCCTGTGTGATCACCCCAGCCCAGTCTGTCATAAACATCGCAGGAGGACTGCACCACAACAACCAGACACAGTGCTCACGATAAGCAGCATCGGGTGGCTGTCCTGTAAGTGCAATTAATACTAAAATCTGCATTTCTTTCTTTGTGGCTCTCCCTTCTTCTCTCCCACTGTAAAACACTTGGATGTCTAGTCTGCAGCATTCAGCCCCTCTACAGCTCCTCTAAGCTTTAATTGCCTCCATAGCACCTCTTGCAGTTCTTGCTTCTCACCATCCTCACAGAGCACCATGCAAACCCTCCAAAAAAAAAATATCCAAAACTTTTAGCTTTTTGAACTAATAAATATAATAAATATATTAAAAATATAACTCTTTCTTTATTAGGGCTGCAAGTATTACCAAATCATTGATATTTCTTGAAGTGACACACGACCTGAGGAAGGCTACACTTTTTCCCGATTTTTGACACACCAAGCTGAAAAGGTTAGCCATCACTGCTCTAGATAGAGATAAGGAGGAAATGTTAAAGGAAATGGACAACGTATACAGGGTCAGCATGAGTTATGCAAGGAAAAACAAACTCCCCAAAGAGGTCCATATTCGATTTACAAGGAGGAAAGTGCGAGATATAATATATAAGATATCTAGTGAGGAAGCAATAGTATATAAAGGAAAGGAGATCCAGATCCTCAAACAAATCCCGAGGAGAGTAAGGGAGCAGAGAAGGGACTATAAATTTCTGGCCACACAGTTGAACAAGTGAGACATTTTATTTCATTGGCTGATCCCAGAAGGGATGTTGGTTACCTGGGAACAAAGGAAGATAAAAATAGACACCCTAGAAAAAGTACAAGAACTGTACGAACAACTAGCGGGGAAACACACATTTTAAAAACAGACGAAAAATATCTAGACTGCCCCAAATTAGGGACACTGTTCACAGCTTCTGCAGATAACGAAAAAAAGAATGGAATAGCAGTTTACATTAAGGAAGAGATAACGGCAAATTTAATATTTGCTGATCCTAAAGGAAGAGTTCTGGCAAAAGAAACACAGATAAACTTTAAAAAAATTATTAGTGGTAATATATGCCCCTAATGACAACCAAAAATAATTTTATAAAACTGTATCTGCTAAAATTATTGAATGGGACAGGAAAAATGTTTGTATTATAGGGGATTATAACGCTGTAGCAGAATATCAAATAGACTACAATGGGGGGAATAAGAAAGGGAGGAAAAAGAAAAGAGAACTACCTAAAATATGGTTAGAAATAATTAAAGAATTAAGTTTAATAGACATATGGAGAAAACTAAACACAGACAAGAGAAAATTTACCTTCTACTCAAATTCCCATCAGTCATGGTCATGTATTGACATGGCATGAATGAGTGGAGCACTAGCAGAAGAAGTGGCAGAAGCAGAAATTATATTGAACTCCTGGGCAGACCACAACCCTCTCAAAATCAATTGGAATGGTAGGGAAAAACCAAGGAGAAGATGGACTTTAGATTCTCAATTATTCAAGGATGATGAATTTATAAAGAAACTTAAGGGAGAAATAAATCTTTTTTAAAGAAAATAATAACCAATATACAACTATTCAAAACTTATGGGATACCATGAAAGCTGTTATACGGGGAATTATAATATTCTATGCTGCAAAAAAAATAAAGAAAAACATGCCCAACAAAACAATTTATACCAAATAATTAAGAAACTAGAAACTAAATTACAGAATGCCCCACAAAATGCCCAATTACAAGAACAATTGATTCTCTACAAACTCAAACTTAATTTAATCGAACAGGAAGAATTGGTTAGAAACTTGAAGGCAACCAAGCAAATACACTTTGAACAAGCAAACAAACCTGGCAGATGGCTGTCTTATAAACTCAAAAAAGAGAAAGAGAAAAGAATCATCTACCAATTACAAGATGAAAATGGAAACTATCAACATACAATAGAGAAGAAAAAAGAGATCGTACATAAATATTTTGAGAATTTGTATAAGAAAGAGAGTAGATGAAGATCAGATAAGGGAATATTTAAGAGAAAAAAAACCCGAGAAACAAATGATGAGATGAAAGAATCTTTGACGAAGGATATAACTATGACAGAACTAAAGCAAGCAATTAGAGCCCAGAAAAGCAACAAAACTCCAGGCCCTGATGGTTTCCCAGCAGAATTTTACAGAGTGATAGAAGACCAAGTAGGACTAATAATGGTGGACTTATATAATGAGATATTAACATCAACTAAGATGCCGGACACATGGAGAGAATCTTTAATTTCACTAATCCTGAAGGGGGACACAGATGTCAGAATGATACAAAACTATAGACCAATTTCTTTGTTGAATGTAGACTACAAAATATTTACTACTATTATTGCTAACAGATTAAAGAAAATTTTGAATGATTATATACATTCAGACCAAAATGGATTTCTCCCAAACAGACAAACCAGGAACAATTTAAGAATAATAATGTATAGTTTAGAATATTACGAAGCTCACCCGGAGAAACAAGTAGCCTTTGTTTTCTTGGATGCTCAAAAGGCTTTTGACAACCTTAATTGGCAATTCATGATTCAGCAAATTTATGATATGAATTTCGGCACCAAATTTGAAAATATTATAACAGCAATTTATTTGGTACAAAAAGCAAATATTATAATTAACGGGGAAAACACCCAAACTTTAAATATAAAGAAAGGAGTTTGACAAAGTTGTCCTCTATCTCCTCTGCTCTTTATATTGTCATTAGAAGTACTACTAGAATGAGTTGGGCAAAATTCCGAAATAAAAGGATTGAAAACTAGAAACGAAGAGAATAAACTGCAAGCATTTGCAGACGATATGGCTTTCATTATTGAAGAACCAACAGAAAAAGGACAAGTATTAATTAAGGAATTAGAAAGATATGGAGCTGTGGCAGGATTGAAAATTAACAAACAGAAAATGAAACTTTTAGCAAAAAATTTAACAAAACTACAAACAACAGAAGTAGAGAGAGTGCTTGGACTTCAAACAACAAGAAAAAACAAATATTTGGGAATATGGCTGACAGCATACTGTAAGGCGATCAAAGAGAATAACTATAATGAGCTATTGCAACAAACAAAAAAAGATTTAGAATAATAGACTAAAATGCAATTGTCATTGTTAGGAAGAATAGCAGTCATAAAAATGTCTATATCACCAAAATTTCTATATCTATTCCAAACTATTCCAGTTAAATTAGAAAAGTCCTTTTTCAATAATCTTAATAAAATGACAGAAAAATTTATTTGGCAGGATAAAAACCCCAGAATAAAAATGAAATTGCTACAAGATATAAAGAGCAGAGGAGGTTTTGGATTGCCAAACTGGGAATTATACTATAGTGCAGCAATATTAGTCTGGTTAAAGGATTGGATCAATCTAAAGAATAAAAGAATATTAGCTATAGAAGGTCACAACCTGCAGAGAGGGTGGTATGCCTTTCTGTGGGATACAGGACCCTCCAAACAACAATATTTCCACAGACACCTGATTAGAGATTCGTTAATAAACAACTGGATCAAAGTTAAAAAGAAACATTATATAAAAATCCCAGTTTGGCTATCCACAATGGAAGCAATGACCCACCCAAATAATTTAGACCTGAACAAAATGCTAAAGTATAAAGACTTATTGGACATTCACAGAAACTTAAAAACAATACAAGAGCTCCAAGAACAAGGGCTATGAGTAGACTGGTGGGCTTATTTCCAAATACAAAACCAATATAAAAAGGACATAAAGGATCACGGAATATACCTGAAACCACAACAATTAGACAAAATTTTATTAGGCCCAGATAAAAAAAATGTTACCAAAATTTACACATATCTCCTGGAAGTAGAATTAGAAGAAGTAGTGAAAGGATGCATGATCGCATGGGGTCAAAATATCAGTCACAACGTAAAGTTATCAGATTGGGAGACTATATGGAACAGAAATCACAAATTAACAAAATCAGCAGCATACAAAGAAAATGCATATAAAATGTTCTATAGGTGGCACTTACCCCCTTCCAGATTAGTGAAAATGTACCCTAAAATGAGTCCTATATGTTGGAAATGTAAAAAAAAAAAGAGGGAACATATTATCATATGTGGTGGTCTTGCCCAGAGGCTCGAAAATATTGGCTTAAAATCAAAGATTGGCAATAGGAAATCACCAATGAACAATTAGACCTAGAACCAGAACTCTTCCTATTGGGGATCTTCAAAAAAATATGTAAAGAGCACAAAATACTTATTATTACATATATTGACTGCTGCCAGGATTGTCTTTGCCCAATGTTGGAAACAGTCATATATACCCGCAGAAAAACTGGTTATACAAAAAGTTATGAACTGTGCTGAAATGGATAAATTAATGCTGAGTTTAAAAGATAAAGAAGCTTCAATATTTTATAAGGTGTGGGAACAATGGTATAGCTGGATAGATTGGAGATAGATTAAAGATAGGTAATTATTAAATATAAGTAATAGAATAACAATGTAATTATGCATAAATTAATACCTGTAAATAATGCATTAATTACTGTCATATGATAAGCACTACAAATAGCTGTTATTGAGTGATTTCTTATGTTTTTAATGTAATAAAAGTTCAATAAAGTTTATTTTTTTAAAAAAGAATAGAGAGATTGCACCATAACTATACCATAGCTAGACCATATGGACCATGGACTATGCTGAGGAGGGGGGACTTTTTCCATCCCAAGAATCTTCAGTCTTAGTTCATGGATGAGAAATGTTGCATAAAAGTGAAATTAACATCCACAGTAGATACTATTGACTTCTTAAAACCAGAAGAGACTCCTTTGCACCCCAAATACTACTATGGTGGCAAATTTTATGTGGACTAAATCTACTTCACCAGAGTTGTCCTACTTGGGAATTTAATGCAGTAATCTCTTGTTCATTGCCCCACAATAAAAGTAATGCAGCAGTTAGATATTGATCAGGACAAGATAATTCTTTGTGATAATGGGTCATGTGGCTCCAACCCCAATGTATGCTTTCTTTTACTGTGAGACAAAGCCATGACTTATTTAGCCACTGTTTATTGTTAACCATAATCAAAAGCGAGCCGTAAAGCATGGTTTAAAACTTTATTGGCTGGATTCATAAAAACATTAAGCCAAAGCCAAACAAAGCATGCAAACATAGTCTGTATTTTCGTGACATAACCTGATTTTCTTTTTTTTTCAAAAAAGTTTTTTATTTTTTTATTTGTACACATCTCTTTACGTAGGCAACGTGGTTCCAAATTATAACACTTGTACATAATCATACTTTCATTTCCACCAATCTTATATAATATCATCTCATATCATTATCCATTTCACTCATCTTTAAATAAGTTTCTATTTCACATTTCAATTCATTAATTCGATATCAATATCATTTCATCCAAATATAGATTCCCAGTCCTTTATCCCCTATTATTTCTGTTTTCAGCTTACCACCTATCATTACGTGTCATTATTATCCTTAATTTTCCCTAAGCCAATTATATAATAAACAATCTAAAAAGACAAAAAATAAAAACCAATATATTTAGGATCCATATGGTATATCCCCTCAATCTATCTGATTTAATAATTCATTCCCCAACATTAAACATATTAATGTTAAATAATCAACTGTATATTTTAAAACATATATATTTTAAGATATCCCCCCTGAAATCGCTAAACTGACTTCTTAATATATCTCATTTCATCTTCACTTCTCTTTTAATCATTAATCATATTTTTTCCTTTTCTACTTTGCCAAAATTTATATGTTTTAATACATTTCACTTATAATCATTAATAATCATATTTTTTCCTTACCACTTATCCAAAATTTATATATTTTAATACATTTCCATTCCCGTTTTAATCCTCCAGTGTAAGGGTTCATAACAGCATAATTCATATACAGTTATATATAGTTACATAATCCTAGAATAATTTCCAGCAAGTTTTAAACTAAATGCCAATATACATTCCCATGTGGTATCCCCCTTATACAATCCCTAACCCTTATCTCTAAATCTCGTAACTTTATCATTCCTTTTAATTTTGGCTAGGTTTCCCTTTTCTAAGTTTCCTCAGTCTTTCTTCTTTTTTCCTTCTAGTTTTATTTTTATTTCCCTCTGCCTGTTGGCCATGCCCCCCCCCCCCTTTTCAGTTCTCTCTTTTGGAGTTTCTTATGACATATTCCCTTCTTCTTCTTCTTAGTCTTGAGTGTCTTATCTCTTTTATTTATTGTCTCTAATGTCAATGTCTCTGTTTTAAGTCCTTTTATGTCCTTTGACAATGGTCCTTGTTCTTCATGCTCATCAAGGCTGTTATTTTCTTCTTTTAATTCATCCTCTCTGAGCTTCTTTTATTCTTCCATGAGCTGTGACGCCTTACTTTACTCAGCATTAACTCCACCAGTCTCATTCTTTCTTTAAACATCTCTCTCACATTTTGGAGCTCTGACTTAAATTGTTTGCTTATTTCTTCCTTTTCCTTGGTATATTAAGTGATTCTTTATTTTGTTAAAAGTCAAGTTTTTCTGTTATAGTCCTTGTCAAAAGTTTCCTTTTATCTTACTTTCTCTTTCTTCTGTTTTCTTGTCACAATCAACCTCTAACAGTCCCAAAGTATTGCATTCTTTTATGTTTAATTGTAATCCCTCCCTTTTTTTTTTTATAAAGCTTCCGGGGATCTTGTTATATTAATAATCTTTTATTCCATTTCTTCTCTCTTTCAAATATTTATACGACCAGTAATTCCCATAGAAACATACAAGAAGGAAACCTTTAACCCTTAGGTGGTGCTCTATATCAGCGGTTGCCAACCGGTGAGCTGCGGCCAACTGGTGGGCCATGGAAAAATTTTGGTGGGCCACAGAAGAAATGGCCCCCAAAAGCAATTAATCTGGGCCGCACAGGAAAACAAGGCTGCTCTGCCCACATGCCCCCCCACCTGCTCTGCCCACATGCCCCCCCACTTTGACTGAGAAGCAGAGAGCCATGCGAGCTGCAACTTGAAGGTAAGACCAACGGTGGGGGAGAGGGGTGGCTTGCTGAAGGTGAGAAAGAAAGGCGGATTAGGAAGTAACCGAGCAGCTACACTGATACACAGGGGTATCAGTATAGCTGTTCGGTTAGTTCATAATCGCCCTAGGCATTAAAGACCTGGGAAGAAAAGCAGAAGCTGCTGCTCGTGCTTCTGCCGGATGGCTGCAGCAACCATTGCCTCCAGGTAGGTGGAGGGGTGGAAGGAGGAGAGAGAGAGAGAGAGGAGGGAACGATCCAACACTGCTGGGGAATTAAATTCACTGGGGGAAACGTGCATGGCTCTGTGCCTTTTTTTTCCAGCCTCAAGGTGGGTGGGGGTGGGGGTGGAAGGAACTTTCATTAAGTGTGAAAGTATAGGGAAAAAATACTAGTTACACATTACTCTTAACAAAGACAAAACACCAGGACTTTGGATCCCCCCCAAATTCAAAGAATGAGAGAGGCCCTTCCTTTCCCTTCGCTCTGCCCCACAGTTCCCAACCTCATAACCTCAAATAACAACTCAAATAACAGCCACATATGAATCACTTTCTAATATTTCTTCGCTTCGGGGCATGACCACCAAGAATGAAAGAAGGTACCTTGTTGATGTCCACACTTCCAGCAATTTGGTTTCAGATTTGGGTAGATCTTAGCCCCATGATGGCAAACCTATGGCACATGTGCCACAAGTGACATGCAGAGCCATTTGTGCTGGCACATGGACCACAGGCAAACTTACCTTAGCCAATCATGAAGGCACCATATACCAACGCTAGAACATTTTGTGTTGTTTTCCTTGTAAGCCGCCAATTTTGTTATTTTATAATTGGTATTCCAAATCATTTCCCACTGTTCTGTATCAATAGTATGTCCAAAATTTCTACCCCATGCAATCATTGATCCTTTTACAATCTTCTCTGCTCTATCCCATTCTAATAAGTGTTTATATATTTTAGATAATAATTTTTCATCTGGGCCAATCAAAATTTTATCTAATTTTTGTAATTCATTGTCTATTCCAAATTCCTGTATTTTTTATATTTTGTTTGTATTTACATATAAGTCCACCAGTCCAATTGTATTCCCTGTCCTTCCAATTCCTGCCTACTCTTTAGATTCCCTTGTTTGTCTAAAATTTCCCTGTACCTGGCCATTTTCTTAATCTCCATTATATTAGGGTGGACTACTGCTTCCAAGGGGGATATCCCGTTTGGAATTTCAGATAATATTTATTTTTTATGTGTCTCCATGATTGTTTCAGTATGTCTCTTATTCTATATCTATAGAAGTATAGATACGGTTTATTTTCTTTATCCCACAGGAAGGCATGCCACCCTCTTTGTAAATCATGCCCCTCTATGGTTAATATTCTTTTATTTCTTAGTTTGATCCAATCTCGTATCCATACAAGTATTGCCACCTTATGGTATAATTCCCAATCTGGGAGCCCAAGGCCACCTCTACTCTTGCTGTCCTGTAAATCCTTTAACTTTATTTGCTGTTTCTTACCTGCCCAAGCAAATTTCATAATTGTTCTGTTTAATTCTGTAAAAAAATTCTTATCTAATTTTATTGGGATTGTTTGAAATAAATATAAAAGCTTTGGCAAAACATTCATATATTCATTCGGCCTAAATGATGATAATTGTAAAGTCCCCCATTTTTCCAAATCCTTTTTAATTTGATTAAGTAATTTCGTATAATTGTCTTCTTTTATTGAGGAGCATTTTGCTGTTAACCATATTCCTAGGTATTTAATTTTTTTTGTAATTTGTAGTCCCATTATACTAACTCCTTCTTGTTTTTAGGTATTATATTTTTCACCAACGTTTTAGTTTTGTCCCTGTTAATTTTGAGTCCTGAGACCTCTCCATATTTCCCTAATTCCTTTATCAGAATTGGACCTGATTCTAATGGCTCCTCAATTAAAAAAACAAATCATCCACAAATGCTTGTAATTTATATTCCTCTTTTTAAATTTTTGTTCCTTGCATTCCTGAATTTTTCCTAATTTTTATTAATAATGTCTCTAATGTCAACATGAAGAGCAGAGGTGACAATGGGCATCCCTGGCGAACTCCTTTTGTTATTCTAAATGTCTTCGTTGTATCTCCATTTATTATTACGTTAGCCTTTTGGGAAGAATAAACTGTTTCTACTAATTTTTCAAATTTATCTCAAAATTTCATTTCCCTAATCTGACATATCATGAATTCCCAATTTAAATTATTGAATGCTTTTTGTGCATCCAGAAAAACAAGGGGCACTTGTTTTCCTGGATGCATTTCATAATATTCTAATATGTTCATTACTATTCTGATATTATATCTTATTTGCCT